TATATTATAATATAATATATTATTATTAGAATTTACTTTTTAAAGTTGCATACTTCTGTTTCTAATGCATTGTTGCATTTTCCAGTGTATAAAATCCTTGCCTCCACCACGGCTGCACCAGTTCACAGTGAGTATTGGTTTTTGACCCCACAGTATTGTTTGGTAATATTTTTGATGTGCTTTCATACTCTTCTCTGTTTAATACGTTACTTTTATACATTCCTATACACTTCTGTCAGTGTTTTGCTGTTTTGAAGTTGTACTGAATAATTATTATTTATTTGTTAACATACAGAGCTCACCATGCAGCTGTTCCTGACTATTATATTGTGTGTTGGAGCGATGATCTTTGTGTGTCTGTTCACAATATGTCTTCTTCTGGCTGCGAAGCACAGGAGATCCACCCCACGCCAGAAAAGAGAGGTTGGTTTACAAAATAATGAAATAAAATAACACCCATTGAGGTCTCAAGTTAAATATCTGGAGTAACTTCTCTTTAAAATCAACAATGGTTTAGTTTCTCCTAAATCCCTAAGTTATCCTACTACCCTTTCTTTTATAGATTTACAATATAAGAAAGGGCAGACTTCTGCCCAGGTCCCTCTTGAAAATGAGATCTAGATCTTAACTGGGTTTACCTGATTAAATAAAGGAAATAAAAAAATAAATAAATAACGTATCAGTACACTGTGATTTGTTTGTATTTATCTGTGCTGATCAAAATTTTATTTGTGTGGCCACAATTAGCTTTTAAAACTGGTCCTTATCATTTTCATTGTTCCTGCTGCAGTGTGGCGCTGATTTTTAAAGGGGAGAAAAATTAAGCTGTCCACTCCCACCTCATGAAGAAAACCTCAGACAATCAAAGGAATCAAAATTTATTTGATGTGTGCATACATGTTGAATGTGAATCCCTAATATCAGCTCATTAAGCATCCTTCTATCCAGTTTGCTCCCTTTAACTATTGGAACCTTTGAACTTTGACATTTTAATCCATATTTTTCCTGTCTGAAGTAGCAAGATGCTGACAATGACATATTACTGTACCGCCTTCTGCCTTTCAAACTTGTCTCATTTATGAGGCGATGAAAAGACTTATTTCCAAATAAGACTGTGCATGAAGTGAGTGAGAACCAAGAGATGAAGGAGGATTAGGGAAAAATATGGCACTTATTTCTAATATTTAGTGTAAAATATATGAGAGCAAAAAAAATAATCAGAGTCAGATATTTGGGGATCAAGTTATGGGAGTTTTTTTCATTGGCTTTTGTTTACATTGTTTGAACATGTCTGTCATCTATTGTCCACAAGGGGGCACTGCAGCATCCTCAAATTCCTACTTCCCTCAGGGGAAACTCAGCGGTCAAATCCGGTTTTTGTCATGTGTTCTGTCTGGACAGCTGACATTGTGTTCTCCATATTAGGAGCAGTCAAGCTGCCACAAGAGCCGCTGAAACAATTTTCAAATGATACAAGTAAATGGCAGCACATTTCACGAATATTATTTGCTGGAGAGTTCTGTTTCGTGTTCAATAAAAATAGTTATTTGTAAGTCTCTTGATTGCTTATTTAATCACTCTGAACTTCTACAACCACATGTGACATCATGTTCTTTCAGGTCAGTACAGCTGATGCTTTTAGACGTTTTAAATACAAGATGTCAACTCTGAGGTAGAGGAGTGCTTGCCATTCTTATCTCCTTGTAGTTGGGTGTCATAGATTCAGATAAAAGTGAAGAATCACACTATCTGCCACCGTGTACGAACATTTCATTGATGTAATGATGTAAAAACCTGATCTAAGTCCATGACTTGTTCATTGACGCCACTGATTTGTCCTCCCTGTAGACGTCGTCTGACTATGAGACGATGATGCCCTCGCCTGCGGGAGCGGCACCAGAGCCCTGTGGATGTTCGCATCCGGACTGCATTGACCTCTCTACTTTACCTCGGCCACCTTCTGACCTCTACTCCTGCTTCACAGAAGAGAATCGGGAGTCCACCATCTCCTGCAGCCTCGGCGAATACGTCGATGTAGACATACCGGGACATATCTGCCAGTACCAGATTCTGGACCGGAGCCGACTGGAAAACCATGTTTACCACAGTCTTCACGGGAGCTGCAGCTCCAAACAACGAGCTCCAAAAGAGCAGATTGTCCACTGACATAGCTTATACCTGGAACAGTGTGTGGGTTGGTTATTGGTATTAAGTTATACCAATCTGTAAAAAGTGACAGACTTTTCTCTCAGTTTTATAGCTTGAAGTTTCTTCAGTGACATGAAGGAGGAAGTGCCAGATGTTTCTCTGCTCCTTCTACCTGCCCGCTGCCATCCTACTTGCTGAATGTATTGTACAAAATTACAGTCATATTAAGATGCAGTCACCTACTTGGATGTACAATCAACTTATCTGACAGTATGGGCAAGTTAAACTGTTTTTTCTTTCAAAAAATGTAAGAAAACTGTATGAAAAAAGTTTTAAAATGCTTTCCATCATTCTGATGAGTCAACAGAATGATGAAAAGGGTCAGGAAAACACCGTCCTTCAGCTATTGTGGAGGAATTTAATCTGAAACGGACATTTTCATTTCCTTTCTTTCAGTACTATTGGAAAGGCACACAGATTTCTGTTGGCTGTTTGTGGTAAATGAAGAAGGTAAATGATCAGAATTATTACATCTTACTAACGCTGTTTGCACAGTTGAAAGTGGCTTTAATGAGATTAAAAAATGTACAGATGTGTTCTCTCTGATGATGTTAAGCATAATGTGAGCTGCCCCTCTCCCACTTGTTGCTGCACACTGCCAATCTGATAAACTGCCGCAAAGAAAGTCTGTTTGGAAATATTTCTAGAATGGAGAAAACATGATAAGTCATGGTCTGAAACTGGAGGATCGTCCATCATGGTGTTTTTAAAACATCACATGCTATAAGCAAATTAATACACTGCAAAAAAAAAAAATCTAAGTATTTTTGGATTGGTTTCTAATGCAAATATCTTAGCAGACTTAAAATAAAACAAAACTGACTCACGAGTTCCATTTTTAATACTGGAGGAGTTTTACAAACAATTTTTTTAAGTCAACAACTCCATGACATTTATGAAAAAGTGCTTTTTCCACTGGCAAATTATTTCACTGATATGATAAAAATGTTTTGTTAAACTGGTTTGGTCTTATTTCAAGTGTGAAAGGATTTTATGCACTGGGAACTACATTTTGTGTTTTTGCAGTGCATGGCCTTGACACTTGTGTTTGTTGAAGGGCAGAACGGCATAGAGGTTTACCATTCGAAACAGTAAACACTTGAAATCCAATATTAACTTTAATGTGTGTGTACTTTAGATTTTTGCTTTGGTAAGAGTTGCAAGAAATAAAATAACTTTGATTATCAATATAAGTTGATAATTGTACCATGCCAGTGCCTCAATGACACAAATGAGTGATTAGTGACTGAGGCTGAACACTTTGCATGTATCGCCTTCTAAGACCTGATTGGTTTATTTTACATGTTCTCATTACCATGGAGTAGGTCAGTCATCCAGGACATTCTTGATGTGGTCAAATAGAAGGTACCTGGACTTTTTCTCTTGTTTCACCCCACATCCAAAAGGCTTCTTTGGTTCTGAATACGGGTCGGAAATATCAAGGCTTGTAATTTATAGTCAAAACAAGGAAGCGAACATGAACGTTAAAGTTGGTATCTGCTTTTCCTCTGTATTTGGTTCAGTGTTTGGTTTGTTGTCATTTGTGTGTACACAAGAATGATTGGCAGCGTTAAGACCTTCCTCCTTGCTCTGATTGGTTATCTCTCTCAGATTGTGCCAGTAATACATAGTGATAGTTGTAAGGAATATGTAAAAAAAAATAATATTAATAAATTTTAAGCACTTACAGGGGCCTCTAAAAAGAAATATTATTAAAAAAAACTATTTTTTTAAGTTTTGGTTTTAACAATGAAATATCAAAAATGAATAAATGTAGAAAAGCACTTTTTTTAAAAAATACAATGATTAGGTATAGGGAGCACAACTACATGTAAGACGGCCATCTCTTGAGAAGCAAAGGGGACATAGTAGCAGGGAAGGAAGCTGAGGTTAAAGGTATAATCTACGCTCAACTAGATTGGCAAAAGCTGGTTGTATTGTGAACCAGTCAGCAGTTCACTGCAGCCAGGTTCTGCTATCAAAACAGGACATACCGTTTCCTCCCATGTGTACCACAGCATAATGCAAATCTACAACTTAGCATTTGGTATTTCACCTCTTTCTGGTGATGAAGAGTTTCTTCTGGTTTCCTAAGTTCTTCATGACCTATTTAAGTTTACCAAACACTTCGGTTTGTGTACCATAAGTAGTTCTTTCTGTCACGTAAATGAAAGAAAGAAAGAAAACATGTGAAACAAGGGATGTTCTTTAAGTTTAAATAGAAGATTGGTCAGAAGTGGGGAAGTGCAACAACAGCAAGGAACTTGTGTAAAAATAAAAGTGGCTGCGCAGACAGATTTCCTCAATCTTGATGTCTGGATTGAGAAAACTGACACAGACGTACAAACCATCTGAAAATCATGAAGAGGAGTTTGGTTCTTGCTGTTGTCCTCGCTCTGGAAGGTAAATTCACCAAGATTTATTAATTCATCCCTTTCGAGTGTCCTCCTCTCTTTTCATCTTTTGTGGTTGAACATTTCTCTACAGTGGTTTAGAAACTCCACCGTCACTTCACTTAGTTCTTCTGGGGGTAGAAAACAACATTTAAGACTTTAATAAAAAATATAATTGAATGTCTACAGATGTACTATTCATTTTTTTTCTTCTGTAAAGTTTATCGCCCTGTGGAACACTGTAAAACATTTGAGCTGCGTTTAGTTGTGTCTGCCATCTTCTACTCTTTAAGTTAAATAAATTTAGCGAGTTTTAGATTTCGAACCTAAATATCTGAGTTTGTGGAAGATAAATTTACAGTAGTAAGTTGTGTTAACATTTTTATTAATTTTCTCAACTCTTGGAGGAATAAACTAGAGTTTTTTGGTTAAAGAAAAAACTGAAAGTAGAAGAAGAAAGGAGTGAGAATCATTTCCCAGAGTGCTTAGCGGCATGTTTTTGTATCCTGAGATGGAGGTGCGTTACATTGATCTGACTCTTGTGTTTTATTAAGGCAAAGGTTTATTTTAATGCAACTGACAGTTTGTAAAGCTTGAGGATAATGTCCTGTTCACACTAAATGTTTTCATAATAATGTTTATCAAATTTCATCATCAGGTCAGAAATTTTGTTCATGCAATTTGAAACAAGGATTTAAATTATTCTAAAGTAAAATAAGTAGTTATATGAACTTGATATTGTAGTATTTTTTTTTGTTTTTGTCTTGCATATTGTGACATAATTAATTAGCTTAAATTGCAGCATTAAGGTAAAACTCACCAGTCAAGATTAATGAGCTTAAAAAACAATATTTAGACAACTTGTCTCTTGTTGTTAAATCAGCTTCACGAACTTTTGCTTCTGAGTTAAAGCCAATAAAATTTTCTTGCTGACTTGAATTGCATTTTCAATGCAGCTGGTGAGCTTTCGTTTTCAAGTATCTCTTTGGTATATCTTTAATGTCACAGTTTGCAGCAGTGAAAAGATAAACACAACATAAAAGTTAAAAACACAACATCTTGCACTTCATTTTTTTATCACTGAAACTTACTTCATTTCAGTTTTTTTGTTTGTTTGTTGCTTATCTGCTGCTGGGATGCATGGCACCCTTATCTGTTGGCAGCGCTTGCAAATATATGTAAAAACCCCAACAGATAAATAAACCTTTGACTGCAGCACCGTAACCTCACAGCGAAAACGCTGCTGTTCCCAGACAGCGATCTTTGGGGACTTTGTCACTCACTGATGGTGGTGTGCTACTGGACGGTAGCCATGGCTACCAACCAGTGTTAGAGCGCTAACCTCTGACCCTCTGACCCCCACCAGCAGACAAGGTGTTTAAAAACGAAGCTTAAATTTACTGAGCTGTCTGTTTTTTTTGGGTTATTTTACAACAAAGTTAAAAAATATTCATACTTCATACGTAATATCTGATTAACTATAAACACGCCACACCTTGACTGAACGCTTTTTGCCTTTCGTCTTCTGGAAACAAAAGCCAGTAACACTCAACTAAACCACTGAGTGAGAGATGAAAGAATGATGAAACTAATAATCTACGAAAAGGCAAAACTGTAAAAATAAGAAAAAAAAAATTAACCAATAAAATGATGCAATGAAGTAAGACTTCAGCATGAACTGCCAAACCTGTTGGTTTTTTTATTTATTTATTTATTTATTTTTTTCAAAATAATTTGGAAATGAGGTCAAGTGTGTCTTTAACCAACTAAGATCAGTTTGGTCAAAGTGATTTCATTGTTTTGTCATGGCAAATGCAACATGTCTGTTAGCAAGGTTAACGGTTAGCACTGTGGTCAACATGTCTGACACTCTTTACAGCTGCAAATTTATACATAAAATGCCAACAATTCCTTTAAATTCTTCACTTGCGCTTATTTACGATGATTAATGATTTGTTAGGGGTGCCAGTGATGGTGTTACCAGAGAAAAACAAACAACAGCCCCAAAACCCCCAAAGCTAACGTTATCTCATACGTTTTTTTTCTCCACTGAATAAATGTTTCCAATATAAGATTGGATTTTCCTGCTGCTGCAAAAGACAAACTTTTGCCCATAGCAAAGGCTTTGATCTTTGCTATGGGCACCGCTACGTGTTTATAGTACTAATCTGTGAAATTCACAAACGTCACATTTGACGTTTGTCAAATGTTTGTCACATTTGGAGGATTTTATTTATTTATTTATTTTGTCAAAAGTCTGTTCAGAAATTGTCTTTATGTATTTCTGTTTCTGTTTTCTTTTGTCTAGTGGTTTTTCAGACTGAAGCCATGTCTGTAACAGGAACTGAGGGGGGATCAGTCAAAATAACATGCTCTCATTCTTATGCCACCACCAATGTCAAATATTTCTGCAAAGGAGCGTGCAGTGAAGCAGACGTCCTGACAAAAAGCAGGCCCATGCGGCAAGAGGGGAAGTACTCTATAGAAGATAAAGGGAACACATTCTATGTAACAATATCAAAACTGGAAAAGGGCGACGAAGGAGTTTACTGGTGTGGCGTTGAGAGAGTTGGAGTGGACACGTACGACAAAGTGACCCTCTCTGTAGAAGAAGGCGAGTAAAGTTGTTGTAACATTGAAGCCGTAATTATCACTTCTTCTCGAGATAAAAATATCAGCTCTGCTTCCTTTCACTGATGAGGAAGCTTCTCTGAACGGGTTTGTTTCGTCTCAAAAGCATGTGACAAAATCATGAAGCATGTCAAAGTTTTCATTTTGCCTTCTGTTACAGAGAATCCAGGAAGCAGCCTGAAGACGCCGGATTCTAGTAAGCATTTCTGTTTCAGTGCCTTATCGATAAGAAAATGTGTTCTTATGAGTTTATCATTGCTGAGCTTGTTCTTCGTTGGTTATGTTTGTTCCAGATAAGATGGTGTATCTTGGAACAGGTCTTGGTGTGGCGGTGCTGGCTCTGGCGACCGTCCTGCTGTCGTTCTTCAGACTCAGAAGAAGAGACGTCAGCACGTCTCAAGGTGCAAACCGCTGAAACACACCTTTTAGGTTGCACCAAACACACAGGACAAAGAGAAACTTGCCCATAACCAAACCTACTAGTTCATTTAAACATATGATGATCACAAGTAAAGCTGACAACATTTAACAGGTTTTCATTAAAATTTTAATTTTTCGACATTTTCTTTGGATATAAAAAAAAAAGACAAGAAATTTTATTCTGCCCTTTATCTTTATTTATTATTTTGAGATTTTTCCAAACTCTTTTCTACAGCTTGTGGGGCCAAAGCTGAAGATCGATCATAATTAGGTCTGTAGGTTGATTTCAGGCAGTTTCTCTGGCTCACATCACTTAGGATGTAATATGAAGTGATGGAATAAGTGATTAAAGACATTCACGACTTTAAAAGCAATCTTCAATTACCATTTTAGTATCTACTAAAATTTGCTTATACTGGAAGAACAAATACAGTGGAGTATTAGGACCATGCTACAAAAAACTAAGAAATAAATGAGAATAAAGTCAAGAACTTTACTTTATAAAGAATTTTATAAAGTCAAAATATTAGGACTTTATTCTTGTAATTGTATTTTTTTTAAATTGTCTTAGCATGGCCCTAATACTCCATCGTATTCAAATGTCTACATAAAAACGTATTTGTAACAGAAAGAAGCAGTGAACACACTTATCATTTGATCACAGAGAAAAAAAATGTGAGCAAATTATGTGTCGGATTTTGTTGCTTTTGTAACCTACTCTTGCTTCGTGTTTATCTAATGTATGAATGTTGTTTGGTTTGTGGAGGGATTCAGAACTTCTCTGTGTTTCCTCAACCTGTTCAGGAAAAAATGATGGCGTTACATATTCGAAGCCCTCGATCCAGAAGAAATCCCAACATGCCAACGCCGCTTCGTCAGTCAGTGAGGAGAAAGGAGCAGGTTTCAGGATCAACGCGGATCAGCCGGAGGTTCTGTACTCCAACATCCGTTCAGGGCCTCAGGTCCAGTCAGACGACCTCTGCTATTCCACCATCAGCTTCAGCGAACAGCCAGCCTGCAGCGCTGCCTCTCCTCAAAACGAACTAACCACATACTCATTTGTTAAATCCAAACCTGCAGGCTCGGCCAGCTGAACAGCTTTAATGTTCAAATATAAGTTTTTACATCTTTGACTGAGAAAATTATATCTAGTGATTATAGCAGATGTTTTTAAGTTTATCCTTGTGTTTTGTTTTGTGTCCTATAGATCAAAATGTGATCGATAGGCTCAGTTGTCAGCTGTGTTTTTTCTTTAAATTATCATTAATTATTTCAAATGCACAGCACAAAAAGATACAAAAATGTACAATATTTTTATTTAATTATTTAGTTTCATACTCATCTTTTTTCCTTCTTGTTACCTTTGAATACTTTTAGAGTTTTTTTTTTCATCTTCCTCTTAAAGCAAGACATTAATTTGACAGAAAATTACAATTTAGGCTAAATATTTTCATACATGCAAACTCAAAAGGAACAAAGAAATAATTCAACATATTTAAACCAAAGCCCTCTGTTCATGTAAACTCATAACAATACTGCCATCTAGTGGACAGTTTCTAATTGACAAAGGAATATATTGTTTTTTTCCTTCTTTCTTCATTAGTTGCGCTGCATTGCTGCACATTTTATACCTTAGAAGTCTCAGTGGTAATCTCCCTTTTTTATTTCTTTTAGAACAGATCACATATAAATAGATGTTTTTAATGTTTTTTTTTTATTTGATCACTCATTCAAATTCTAAAATTATTTCAATAAATTGGTTGAGTCCAAATCTTCATTATTTTAAAATCACCTTGTAGGTGACATATTCTGAAATCAAGAGCATAATTTTTTTGCCATTAAGTTTTATCAACAAAAAAAAATCTTACACACATTTAAAAGTTAAGAGGTAAACCAGACTTTTGTTTAAAAAAAAAAGCCTTCCAGACTAACATGGCCCCAATACTACAGGTTTTTTTTTTTTGTTTTTTTTTTTTTAAATGATATATGTTATTATCTAGTAATCAATCTCTATAACTTGGCTATGAGCAAATGTTTAGCATGAATGTAAGAAATCCAAAAACAAAAACACAAAAAACTCTTCATAAATAGTTATAAAGAACATGTGAGTATAAATTTAAATAACTTAAATCATTGCTGACTATAAGAAATAACATGCAGCATGTTGGTGAGATGATTTGAACACACAGCTGAATAACTAACGTTACGCATTTCTGACTCTGTTTGTCTCCACTTCCTGTTATGGAAACATACAAATGATTTAAAATTTTGTGGAAGAATTGGGTTACAAATGCAAACAGCTTTCTTTTTTCATATCAAACAGGTTGTTAGTTTGTAAAATAGATGTATGTCACATCAATGGTGGAAAAAGATGTGGAGTAATTTACTTTCAATAGGCCCAAGTAACATTTAGGATTTTGTTAGATTCTTATCAAACTAAAATCTTCTTTCCTTCCAAACTCAGGGCAAAAGTTCAACGTTGCTGAAGTGCCCATTTAAAAAAATAAAATAAAACATTTTAATGCTATGCTTCTCTGACAGAGGTCCAGATTGAACAGAAATTATTCTCACTCAATGCTGTCAAGTACATAACCTGTGTAAATTACTTCCACATTCTAGGAATTTACATATCCGTTGCTATTTGTGTCCTCAAGTTGACCAAGTTTTTGCGGCTTCACATTCTGAAAGAGTAATGAATTTCCATTCTCTGAGAAAATAAGAGATGAATTCATCCTTCCATCAAATGAACAGCATAAGTTGTTCTTTGATTAAACCACCAAGAAATTTAAACCCACATTTATCTTTGTCACATAAATCCCAACAAATAAAAGTTGCAGCAGAACAAAATGTGTGTCAGGGACTCTGACACGGCTCGTCTGAAAAAATGCCTTTATCTGGACTCATCTGGTAATAAAACTGGATTAGTGCTTCCATGGAAAAATAATATCCTTCACCTCAAACGTCAGTAATATGGGAGATCTTCTTCAGCGAAGTGCCAGGCTACGTTCACACATACCAGAGAAAATCAACACAGTCAAAATTCAAACATGTTCCTTATTATAGCCTGAGCTTTGAATATTCCACTCTTACCTCAGGGTGTAATATGCTGAGATAATGTGCAACATGAAACTAAATAGCTCGTATTTATTTTCATAATGATTTTCGATCCAAAGATAAGTCGTACACTGCAGACATTGTTCAGTGAAGCAGAGTCGTGTTTTAGTCACATGAAGCAGGTGGAGGTTCACTCTGCGTCTGAGTCAGGTCCCAGCTTTCTCTTCTGCATTTCTTCTCCTTCTCACGTCGGAGGCAGATGCTCTGATGACAGATGACATGCAAATGCATCGAGTCCTGTAGAAGAAAGGAGAAGTTGAAACAATAATTTTAAAAAAACCCCAAAAAATCGAAACGGTCACAGATCTGACTTCCTGAGGAGAAGTTTTAGGCCAATATTAGTTTCAGTTCAAGCAGTTTTGAACTCCACCATGAGGATATATTTTACAACTATTGTCTGGTTGCTGACAGGTAAGAGCATTTTATTTTATTTTATTTTTTTACATTATAAAGTGATTTGGGACTTAAACATGTTAAGTGTGTGAAAATGAAATTACTTTTGGTGAATTTTTCATGACAGTCAGTGGAGATTTACTTGTAGAGGAGGAAAATGATGAAGCGCCTCTCAACACTGCTGTAAATTGGTCACACTGTAAGTACGTTGGTCGTAAAACATGCTTTGAAATGTCTTTACAAATGGTATCAGGAGCAAATCAGAAATTAAGAAGAAACAATGTGCTTAAGAACACAGTTGTGTTACATTTATTAACTATCTACTTTTCACTGCTTTGTATTTCAGCAACAGTAGAAAAATGGTGCGTCAGCGCGTACTTACAGTTACTGAAAACAACAAAACATATCTAGACAGATTTAAGCGCAGTAATGTATTTTACTCAGACACGCCAAGAATAATAATTAGCAATCACTGCCTTATTCTGGATCATAAATGGCTTCTAAATGTTAACAGTCAGCTTAAAACAAACCAAAACGTGCCTTTAATAAACATAAGCGATCATGACTGTACTCTTTAATTCTCCCAAAGGCGACAGTGCAACAGTGGAGCAAACAGCACGCCCTGGAGAGTCTGTTTCCATCACCTGCAAATATTCACAAGCCACTGAAAACGGCATCAAACACTTCTGCAGAGGCGATGGAAACTTCAGCTGGACAAAGATGATTTCAGCGCAGCATTCAAACTACACAAAACGGGAAAAGATTTCCCTCAGCGTTGATAAACAGCGAGGACTGTTCGAGGTGAACATCTTCACGGTGACTCAGGAGGATTCGGGCAAATACCGGTGTGCCCTGGAAGAAAATGATATAATCACTTGTTTACAGGAAGTCGTCCTCCATGTTCTGAGTGAGTACTGATCTAAATTAGTGGATCGCTGTTTAAGAAATTATCAACACAATGCGGCCTTATAAAAACAGAGTACATAGGGTTACTCCAGTGGCGCAAGTACACATTATTCAGGTGGATGCGAAAACATAATCGGTGCGTCGCCCCCTCCAGACGGGCTTTTGGCGCCCCCTCTGGTGCTGCGCCCCTATGCGTTGCATACGCTGCATACCCACTTTTTGCGCCTCTGGGTTACTCTGAAGTTATGAGATCTGAAAAATCTCCAAATAACATTAGACTAATAATAATGTATCAGGTTGAAATGGTGTTGAGCAGTTCATCCTCCGACACTTGGCTTAATGTGGTTGAGAAAGCTATAAAACGTGTCAAATAGGCCATCTGAAATGCTCAAACAGTGTTTGTTTATAAGCATCCATCTGAAGTCTGGCTTTTTGCAGACATTTATGTGCAGTGAAGCTTGCTGCCATGCTAGCTTAATATTGATATGTTCTCTCTGTGTTTTATAGGGCTTATTGATAGTTTGTCCGGTAACATAATTTCAATCAGGGTCCAGCTGAATTATGCATAGATAAAACTAACAAAAAAAAAATCCACTTCATAAATTTGGTGCAAGTCACACAACACAGATAGGTTGCTTGCAACCACAGCCTCCCTTTCACTGTTAATGTTGTTGTAAAGGGTGAAAAAAATACTTAAGACCCCTTGAAACCAGAGCTGTTTGTTTTGGTGCCGTTATACGTTTCTTCACATATTTACTTCTATGAGTTAAGTTTACTTTTTAAGATGGGCTTTTTTAAATTGTACATCAAGTAATGCTTCTTATGCTTTTTGTCACTTATACTTTGTTGTTGTTCAGACCCGTTTACAGTCCCGACCTACAGCAGAAAGGGAGAGTCACCACCTCAACCTGAGCAGATTATTACACCACCAACACGAGTGAGGACTTACAGGGGTTCTGATTGTGGTTCTAGTTGTGGTAAGAAACACCTGCTATTTGTTTCCACCCATACATGTAAATGCCTCCTCTATCATTTATGCATACATTTTATAAACTGGAAAACTCATATATTTAAGACAGTACTTTAATGGAGTGGTAATAGGATTATAATATTACAAAACAATTAACACAATAAACTTGATTCTATTAATTATATTTTTGTATATTTAACAATACTGCAGCATGAATATGTGTTTTCATTACTATACAGAATGAAACCGTAAAATGGAGGAAAGCTTTCTGATGTTGTTCGCTGCTCTCTGTGTCTTGAGGCCATTACTTTCATCCTTGGCTCAAATCAAAAGCTCACAATTAGTAGATTCAAATTGTGACTTCTAAGTTAATGTTGTAAGGATCATTAAGGCCTCTTACAGATAAAGTAATTTTGAATTTACCAACATCTTTCTTCTGACAGAAAGCAATATTAACATTTTGAGTACTGACACTGTTATGAGAACTAAAGATTAGAAAGATCAGACGTCAAAGACTTGAAGTTTATCACCAAAGTTAAATTCTTCAAAACAGAAACTTACAAAAACCTGATCAGCAATTACGAGAAAAGTTTGACTGCTGTCAAGCCAGTAAGGATTTTGTTTATTTCATCATAATAAAATAAAGAAGTGTTGAATTAAATTGAACGAATAAAACTTTAATCGACAGCTTGTCATATTTTTCAGTAAATTACAGTCACACTACCTACATATCTAATTCCCTATCAGATATGCAACATGCCTAGGTCAGTCTCTCTGTTTGATTGAAATTAATATGGACTTACACGGTCATAATGTATCAGTAAAGAGACACAGCTATCACTTTAAGCAAAATCCTAGAAAGAACATAAATGGGATGGGTTTTTTTGTTGTTTTTTTTAAGAGGTAGTGATTTATTCTGGAGGGACCCGTCATTCTGGTACGTTGCCCTGTCACAACTACCCAGAATAATGCCAAGGCTGATCTAGTGAGCCTCTCCTTACCAATTTGTCCCAATGTTCCTCGTTTCTGTAGTACACAACAAGAATGCAGCCAAGTGCAAATTTAGCATCACCATAATTGTGAGCCAACTGGTGGAATTGATCAAATACTGTCATGGTTTTATTTAAATCTGTTAAAAATATAAAATAAAAATAGAATATTGTCAATCTATCTTTCAACTGTTGGTTTTAAAAGCGTGTAGAAATCACAATATGGTTGACTAAAAAAAGAAAAGAAAAGAAAAGAAGAGAAAAGAAAAGAAAAGAAAAGAAAAGAAAAGAAAAGAAAAGAAAAGAAAAGAAAAGAAAAGAAAAGAAAAGAAAACCCTCCTCTGGCCCAATTTCATAAAATTTATGGAACTACCACCACTACAAAGCTATGAAATGTCAAAGAGGCAAAACACAGAGAAAAATCCCACCTGTCTGCAGGTGTTTTAGTGATTTTGTCCAGTCTTTATAATATGTTATATTTTTGCAAGGTAATCCAAAACTGCCACTGTACTGGCATGTTTTGTAACCTACTGAGGGCATACAAGTAGGATAAGGTAAATATGAGTGGCAAACATATGAGCAAACCAACAAAATGAAACCGTTTTAGCAAAATCTAAATTGACTAGAACCAGATGAAGTTCTAAAGATCGTCTTTGTTTCTGTTTGTTTGCATTGTAACTCTATGTCTGCTATTGTCATGATCCATGTTTCTGTGTATTTATTTTTAGAGTTTTCTGTGTTCAGGTCCTTCCTATGAGTCTCTGTCTCTGCCTTCCCCTTGATTGTTCCCAGGTGTTTCTCATTCCCTTGATTACCCCGTGTGTATTTAAGTCCACCTGTTGTCTTTGTCTCTTGTCGGGTCCTTGTCTAACGTCAAATGTACGTCTATGTCCTTGATTGTTAGTCTGCTGGCACAGTAGAACTGCAAAGTCCTGTGCCGGCATTAGCTTGTCATGTCAGTCTTTGTTTAGTACATTTGCTACTGGTGTTGAGCGCTAGCTTTATTCTCTGCTGTGCTGCCTGTATTGGACTGTTCCAAGCATCATTATTATTAAACATATCATCATGTTCACCATACCTGGATCTCAGCGTCAATCCTCACCACCACCAAACCACCATTTATGACGGCTATTTGTGGTTCATTTAGGTGGACAAGATAACCAAGGACCACCACCAGGTAAAGAGAGATTTATTATTGCTCTGCAAAAATATTTTGGTAATTTTAAGTGATTTTAAAATCATTTTTAGAATGATTTTTAAATGTTTGTGTTTGCACTGAAATATTGTCTTTTAATTGTACTTATCTCTTTTAGATGATGAACAAGAAAACAAATTGGGTAAAGAGAAATTTATTGCTCTACAAAAACATTTTAGTCATTTTAAAAATTATTTTAAAATCATTTTTAAATGTTTGTGTGTTTGCACTGAAATATTGTCTTTTAATTGTACTTATCTCAGACAGTGAACAAGAAAACAAACTACGAGGTAAAGAGATTTGTTATTGCTCTACAAAAACATTTTAAAGTCATTTTAAAATCATTTTTAGAATGATTTTTAAAGGTGTGTTTGCACTGAAATATTGTCGTTTAATTGTACTTATCTTTTAGACGGTGAACAAGGAAACGAAACACTACCACCAAGTAAAGAAGGATTTACTATGGCTCTACAAAAACATTTTGAAATTGTTTCTTTATGCTGCAACTCTGTGCCTGTTAGTTGTGCTTATCTCTTTAACATGGTGAACGTGACAGGAACAGAATAAAAGTGTTATAAACGCAGAATTACAACGCTGAACAGTTCCTAGGAGTTTTCACTGTAGCATGACGTCTTGAAAAGACTAATTGCTAATTTATCCAAATTAATGTTGTGTTCCTGCTGTTTTTGTTTGCAGAAGCGATTGCTGGCATTGTGTGTGGTGGTGTGATCGTGGTGGTGCTTGCAGTTGTCTTAATACGCTGCAGACGGAAACTCTGCAACAGACGAGGTCAGGGGTGGCTGTGTAAAAAAAAAAAAAAAAAAATACAAACACTGTTCTAATTCAATTGCAATCGTAAGCATGGTTTTTCATTTAGCAGTTTGGGAACTTAAAACTCAGATTTTGCCCCTATAAATTCATGAAAACTGACTTGCAAGTTATTTGCGCAGATGTAACATAAATATCCTGAAGCTATATTTAAATATTCACTATTTTTGCATGTTGTGCTTTAGGGGAAACATCGGAGCCGAAGATAAACGCAGTACAAAGCGCAGAGGTCCGTATTTGTGTCTCATTTACATTTGATAACAGGAGCGCATTTCTCATCACTACTCTGGAACTCGTCCTAATTGTTCTGTTTTCCAGACAACTGATGGAGATCACCAATATGACGAGATACAGACGCAGAACAAAGAAGCAAAAACAGTCTGCACTCTTTATTCCACAGTGAACCCACCTGCAGACCAGCTGCACTACGCCAGTGTCAATATCGAGGCCGGAGAGCCCAGAACTGGTAGTGATCAAAATGACTCTTCACACCCTCCAGCAGAGACCACTCTCTACTCTACGGTCGCAAAGCTCGGAGAAGAGTAGCCAAACTTCCTGTGTTTTCTGAAACATGTTGTAGAGAATTTGATCTTTTTCTGGGTACTTGACAGTGGCGTCCCCAAGCGGTGGGTTGGAGGGGGCATGACCTCCACTTGAAAAATGCCGAAAAATGTAGTTTTTCATAGCAAGGCATATAGTTATCTTCTTCAATGAAGATATAAATGTAAACAGGCAATGTAAATAAATGAAATTCCTATATTTTCTGTTGTGACTCCCTAAAATGGGCACCCGATGAGAATTTTCAGGGGCACCACTGAGACATGGAGAAACTGCTGCAAGGATTTTTAAAGAAGGAATGTCTTGCATCAAGGAACCCTTTTGGGGTTTTTATTCCTAACCCTACAGAGAAGCTGCCAGGAGCATCAGCTCCAGCCACTTATGAATGGCGGAGAATCTAGAGGAGGGCAAATCCAGAACTCTGACCAGCTGAGCCTGAAACCTGCTGTTACTGCTACTTCAAGAGGCCGCTGAACATATCGTCTGCAGACTTTATGGGATGGTGGACTTGCAGAGGTGCTAGTGAACTATGGGAGATGAAGGCTGCTACCGGAATGGACATGCTGATTCTTTGTTTTGTTTGCCTGTGAATAAGTAGAACTCTGCAGCTCTGGAGTCAGAACTGCATTTGGAGCTTTTATTTTTTGTTTTACTAATTTCATGCATTAATGTCTATTCTCTGGCTTTTTTTTTACTTGATTTTAGGTATATTGTTTGACTTACCAAATATTGGATAGAATTAAAAGGTAATTTCCCTTCAGAAATATTTTTCCCTTGTTTTGCATGTACTCTGAACCTGAGTTTCATAAATCACAATGAATTACAAATGGAAAAGAATATGTTAGTATCTTATTTTTAAGAAGAAAAAAAATTGATTACCCAGGACGTATATTAACAAGACTGAAGTCACAACTCTCCATAATAAATTACACAAAATTTGCAACATAATGTGTGACACTGAGTTGGATTTTTTTTATTTTAGATTTCCTGCAATGTTTGAGATAATTTCTCTGGCCATTTTCAGCATTTTATTAACTTTTACCCTTTATAAATTAGAAGATATAATCACTTGTTTTCAATTTTGGTTTATTTATTTTTTTATCCTAGCATTGAAGGTTTTAGGCGCTAATATTTTATGACAAATAAGTACTGTACCGTTTTTCTGTGTTCTACAGCGCCATCTTGTGGATAGTTGTGGAGTTATTAATGACGGATTTTTCTCTGCCGTCCTCTCAGTTCGTATCTCTTCTTATTCAGTCTAGCCTCATCTATTATTGCAAATAAATACTTTGGCAGATACAATTTACAAAAATTACAACAACGTAATTAATAAGGCCGGTTTCACTTTGTACCGTTTTAATTGCGTAGTGAATGTGGCGTTTAAAATATGTAAACGACTTCCATCCATCCATCCATCCATTTTCTGTACACCCTTGTTCCTTAGTGGGGTCGGGAGGGTTGCTGGTTCCCATCCCCAGCTAACGTTCCGGGCTGCAGGCGGGGTCACCCTGGACAGGTCGCCAGTCTGTCGCAGGGCGTAAACGACTTCCTGTCTCATTAAGTATACAAACTTTCGTCCGTTCAGTCTGCCGCTGTTAGAGTAGACGAACAACGCCACCAAGTGGATATTATGTGTCTTATCCTAACATGTATAATTAGCCTGTTAGAAATTAGAAAGACGAGGAAAGCAGCTATGAACAGTAATGTTTACCTCTTAGCCAGCATTTGGTTTTTCAGTTAATCTTTCCCAAAGTGAAGAAGTAAATAAACTAAATGCTCCCTCTGAAAGAGGGGAGTTAAGGTGATCCACTTTTCTGAATGCAGACTGGATTGTAGAATTCAGTTTTGTTTTATAGAGACCAGTAGAGACATGGTTAAAATAATCGGATATACTGAAAATAAACGCATGAGTTTTTCAATGAGTTTTTATGTGGTAAGAAACTTTTAATTGCTTCTCGGCCTTTTGGCTAAGACAGCGGTCCCCTCCATCGGGCGGTGACAGCGGTAGTCTTTGTCACTTGGCTGTTATCACTGATTTAGAGGTTCATTCAATTTTGTCCCCGGTTGAGATGCTGATCGCTGAACAGTGGAAAATATCTCCTCCTTTTAGTTTTGTATACCTGGTTTTATTTATGTATTGGTTCTTAACAAAGGTTTTAGCCTTTAACTGGTGGTGCCTCCTCCATGGCGGCTACTCATGTCGGCATGCAGAGGCACCACAGTGTTTGCTTTTCATTCAACGAACAAGGTAAGTCAACAAGAATGTCAAGATTGGATTTCTCAAGAAAATTGATTTGGCAAACACTGAAGTTTCAGTCAGATGACCTGAATTGTATCCTGACCCTGCCTTTCAACAGAGGATACGACATAAGTTTTTGTTCTGACGCTTTATTGAAAGAATTTTGCCCTGGTGAAAAAGTAATATACTAAGTATGTTCAATTTTAACATATTTGAGCATACTTTAAGACAGATTAATCATGAGTATACTTCAAGTTCACTTAGGATTAGAATTTTACTGTACATATTGAAAGCACAAAGTAAACTATGAACACATTATTTGCTTTGTTAAACAACATTACATCAAGTTCCACTATTAAGATTATTTTCTTTAATCATTGCCATTTTAACATTCTATTAATGTTATCTATTTAAATTCTATTTTGAGCATATATTTTAAAATGTACACAAAATATCTTTAAAAGATATTTTAAAATATTTAAAGTATCTTTTAAATATACATTTGGATAAGTGTATATTTACACTTAAATATGGATAAGTGTATCCATATTTACACTTGGGCAAATACATATTTTGTTCACTTAAAGTATACTTTTATGTAATATATTTCTTAAAAGTGTATTTTGGTACAATTTTATTTAAATATGTTTAAAGTTAATATGTCAAAATTGGTACAAGCATACTTTTAGTATACTTTGTATATATTTATAGGTAGTACACTTAATACTTAGTAGAATGTACTTGCACAAATGTAAGTACATTTGAAATATACTAAAGTATTTTTTCCCACTAGGGTATTCAGAAACCATCAAAGCAGATGCTTATAATAAAATTCTGCCAAGTCTAAATAAACATTTTGGGTATTCAGAATGTTATTATATCTTGTTAAAATAAATATTTAATACAAACTCTTATGTACTCTTATTAGGTCTATTAATTTTTGATATTCACATCTTTCTGTCATAAGTATCAGATCAGACATAAAAATATAACACATTTCCAGATAGCTCATATAATTTTACAAATATAAATAAATAAATAAATAAATAAATAAATAAATAAATAAGTGCAAATGGTTAAAAAAGTCACTAAATTAATAGATGGAATGATAAAGTTACAAATATCAAAATAATAAAAAAAAAAAAAACACGCGAGTGTTTGACTGTTGATTTCATTCACTATCTAAAAACGTTTATAGTTTTTGAAGCGATAATAAAATAATGCTCTTACTTTTGAAGTTCAAGTCCAGAAACCTCCAGTTAGAAAATTAAAACATGGATGTGCGTGAGTTTACGTACGCGATGACAGACGCTCAACCCGACCAATGATTGGACGAGCAGACCTGGAAGGCGGGGCTTCGACCTCCGGCGGAGGCTGGGTGTCGCCTGACCGGATGATGACAGAAGTTTTCACTGGAAGCCAGTTACTTTTATTATACACTGACCCGCTAACTAGCTGACAAGTTCACTGAATTTAGCCTTTTCCGTCTTTTTTCCTTAATAAATAAAAGGAAGTAGAAGACAGACTTTCAAAAAGAAGCAGTGGCAGGCTGCTGAGCCATTTGGAAACTTTTTTTTTTCCCTCCCTTTGGAAGAGCGAACCATAATTTGACTAGCGAGGTGTCTGGGATAAAGCCCGCAGGGCTCACCGAGGCACCGCTATGGGAAACCGGGGGATGGAGGACCTCATTCCCCTCATCAACAAGCTGCAGGACGCCTTCAGCTCCATCGGCCAGAGCTGCAACTTGGACCTGCCGCAGATAGCGGTGGTCGGCGGGCAGAGCGCAGGGAAAAGCTCCGTGTTGGAGAATTTCGTTGGAAGGTTGTACAGCCCGTGTCTGCTCTTCCATTTTATCCCCTTGCGTTTAGACCGAGTTTAGCTACTGTTGGTGTCTCATGAACACTTGCGTTAAAAACAACAAAACAAACTAAACTCGCCAGCTAAGCAGTTGTTTCGGCGCCCAGTGTGTCGGTTCCTCCCAGTTTATAACGTTTTTTTTCCCCCAAAACTGATTCTTTCCATTCTTGAGCTATTCACAGTCTATTCCTACGTAGCTTACGTATAAAAAACAGATGTTTGACAGGCAACATAAATTCTTTAAAATTATTGTAAAATACATCAAAATTGGCTTTATTCAGGCACTAAAAGTAGGTTGAAAAGTGACTGTGACTGTATGACTAATCTAATGCTGTCAGCAGGGCCTGCTATCAGCCATGTCCTGTCAAACATTCACAAAGCCTGCTTTATCATAAGATTGCCTGGCTGTAAACACAGACCTCACGTCACATAGGTCACTGTTTGAATTTTAAGGGTGTGGCAGAAAAAGGTTAGTTTGTAGATTTCCTGAGGTCACTGGCAGATATAATAGCTTATCATTCAGCCACACAGGAATCGAAACAGGAGCTTAACCCTTTGCATAATCTTGTGTTTATGTGTGGGGCTGATTAAGGAAATCTTGACAAAGCCAAGCATCAATTGTGACTTTAAGAAAAAAAAATCCCTTTTTTTGTGGACATAGTTTGAGAAATTGGTAGAGATAGTGAGAAAACATCTGTTTATGATAAGATTTAATTGGTTTAAATCTGCTGAAGATTGGTGCATCCACATAGTTTTTCTAGACCTCAGCTAAAGTGCAATGTGTGTGTGATAGTGAAAGTGGATTAGACGGCCACGTCTCTGCGGTTTTTTTTTCCTGTCGCCTTTTGTTTGTGAGCCCCACAGCAGTCGCACAGGGAGACAGTGGAGGCATTGATGTGTCTGCGCCCGGGTCGTCAGTCATGTCACCAGCTGCACCGTCATGCGTACATGACACACTGGGTACCAGATACCCACAAAGCTGCTAGCTGTTCCCATGATCGGTAGTCATGCAGGGACGCTTTGGCAGGCTTTTGACTCCGCTGTGTTAGTTTTTAAATTAAATGGCTCTTGGTTTCTGACTGGTCCAAATAAGCTGTTCTCCTCATTTGTAATGGACAGAACCTCGGAAAGGACGTTCGACCTTAACCCTTTGAGTTGTCCACATTTGGTCATTAGTGTTTTCTGCTGCACACAAATTAAGTTAATGTGGGATGCATTTGTATTCAGTCGCCCTGAGTCACTGATTTATAGATCTGCATTTAGTTGCAACTACAGCTGCATGTTTTTTGTCTTCCCTTTCTAGTTTTGGACCTGACAGGTTTACCGCTCAATAGCTCAATCAGATTGGATTTTCAATTGGATTTAGGTCTTGACTTTGACTGGGCCATTCTATAACCTGGAGTTTTGGTCTTATCAGACTTATCAAACTGTCCACATGACTCACTTCTTGCTGCTCAGCCTTTGTGTGAAATGTGAAATAGATCACTCTTTATCGTTCTTCCAGAAATGGGAGTCAATAAAAGGCGTTTCTGACTGATTTACCAGAATAATGATTCATGATCTGAACTGGTCTTGTTCATATTTTATGCTACAGCGGCATAAGTGACGGAGGAAACAGGATGGAAATCAAAGTTGTGCAACATCCTAACTGCTCAGTCAGCGCTGAACTTCAGGAGCAGAGGGAACATAAACGTCTTCCAGTTTTGACCTCAGTGCATATATGAAGGTTTTTTTTTTTTTACTGTTTGCGCTGGTTGCTGTCTTTTGAATAAAATGTTGAGTCTCCCAGCTAACCTGACAGCCAGACGGACAGAAAAACAAACATATTCTCCTCGCCTGCAGAGATGTGGGGGCGCTGACCTGGAAATGATCGCGATTGTATTGAGCAGAAGTTTCCATTCCGATGAGCATGTGTGCAAAGAGGAGAGGGAACACAGGCAGATGCTTCAGCTTCATTTAGACCGTGTTAGTCTTCAGCGAATGTCATTTAAAGTCACTTCAGAAAACAGAAGCAAGTCCAGCTCACGTGGAGACATGTAGTTCAATTTGGTCCTGATTAAGTAATTCGTGTCAATCTCAGTCACTGCAGTAAAACTAGGACTGGGCGATGGGACTTGCATCTAAAATCTCATTTATGATTTCTGTCTGTTTTTGTTCTCGCCTTATTCTCTTAAAGAAATTACAAATGGCAGAAAACATTTTCAAAAAGTGGCTTTTATTTCAATCATTCCTTCTATGACAAAGTATTAGAGTCAGGCTACAAGAATTTGTGTTTAATTACGGGAACACAGTCATAATGTTAGCAGAATAAAGATGAAATTTGACCAGAAAAACATCTTAAAATTATAAGAAAAAAGTATTTTTTTTTGTGTTGTGTTACTACGACTGTACTCTTGTAATATCTTCACTTTATTCTTGTAATGGAAAAAGACAAATATCTTAGCCTGACCGTTGTGTTTTGTTGTAGAGCTGACCTGAACTCAGAGTCCAAATAAGCAGAATCTGTAAAACTGCCTCAAGAAAAACAAGATGGCGGCTCTCGGTGTGTGACATCACTCTGAAATACGGAAACAAAAGGAGTACATTGATGGGGGAAAAAAGTTAAGATTTTCCATAAATTAAATCTTCAAAAACCCAGTCATAGATGCAATTCAGTCCAAACGTCATCAAGTACAAACTCAGTTGATTTTTTTATGCAAATTAGGGAAAAAGTCATCAAGGTAAAGGAGCCCAGAAGATTACCTTGAGTCAATGATTTTGCAATAGTTAAGCATGTGGTGACAGTGGAAAGGAACAACTCTTAGCAGGAAGAAACCTCCAGCAGAACTGTCCTCAGGATTAGCGGCCATGATGGCGGACTGGGAGGATAGAAAGGAGATGAAATGCAGAATCACAAAGAGTCCATAGAACGATTCGCTACAATAAATGTTCATTACAGACTCCATCCAGGAAAGAGACGCAGCTAGTCAGAGAAACACTGAGCCAGAGGAGCTTTCTATGTAAACAAAAACAGTTCAACAGGCAGCAATGGTTTCCTCCAGAAAGGGGACACAGCTGAACACAATGGCGCTACGCTAGAGGTACCTTCTGCAAAAAAACAAATAAGCAGAAAAAAACAAGTACCCTGCAGCTTCCATCTTACAGTTCTGTTTAAGAAAAAAAGATCAACCTGTAAATGTTATTCCTTAGTTTGTGTTTCCAGAAACTAAACTTATTCTTTTTTTTTTTTTTGTCTGACAGAGACTTTTTACCCAGAGGATCTGGCATCGTCACCCGCCGTCCGCTCATCCTCCAGCTGGTTAACAATAAAGCAGGTAAAGCACAAAACTTTGGGTTTACTTTAAAATGTAAATAGCAGCAGTAAACTAAAATTTAAATCCCGAATCTATCGAAAAATTGTTCCATCGCTGCATCCGTGTTATCTGATACCAATTTGGATTATTCTTTTACTTTTTGCCTGGAGCGGCTGTGCATTTAATCAAATTTATTTTTCTGTCTTTTGTATAATCATCATTATCATAGAATAATTGAAATAGTTCTTTAGTAATATTCTAAAACATTTGATCTTAATTTGTCAAAAATGTAAAAAGATGCATGGAGTCTGCATCAAATTAGTTCAAAATAAGAATTCACAACATTCTTATTTAAATGATCATTTATTTTATAATTTATCATTATTATTGTTGAAGTAATTTTTTTTACATATGATTTTGCTTGATTCTCTTTCTGTAGTAATGGCTGCTATTCCACACATTTTTTTGTCCTTGATTTTTACTTCTATTTTGCGTCAGTCATCTACATCACTTGTTTCTTCTGTAGAGTATGCGGAGTTCCTGCACTGTAAGGGACGCAAGTTTGTGGACTTTGACGAGGTCCGCATGGAGATCGAAGCAGAGACCGACCGGATCACCGGGTCAAACAAAGGGATCTCCCCCGTCCCCATCAACCTCCGCGTCTACTCCCCGAACGGTACCGGATCCACACGCTGAAACCGTTACTCCACGTATTTGAACTTCCCCCGGCTGACTTCAGCCTTCCTTTCGTCTTCCTTTCTCGGCTCAGTGTTGAACCTGACCCTGATTGACCTGCCGGGGATGACCAAGGTCGCCGTGGGCGACCAGCCTCCGGACATCGAGCACCAGATCAGAGACATGCTGCTGCAGTTCATCGTCAAGGAGAGCTGCCTGATCCTGGCAGTCACTCCGGCCAACACAGACCTGGCAAACTCAGATGCTCTCAAAATCGCCAAGGAGGTGGACCCGCAAGGTGAGGCCGTCCCTTCAGATCTGGATCATTAAAAATTCAAATTAAAGACTTAAATTATCTTAAATTCATTTAAAAGATAAGTTGGCATTACATTTGGTCATCAGAGGTCTTACATTTGGCCTTAGTAGGACTTTTGTCAGGTAAAAGGTTGGCTCACATGCAGACATCTTCATTATAACCTGCGGCTCGTTGTCACAGCTAGCTTTTCTTGTGTCTGTCATGGATAAGTGCAAATTTTTCTCCAGTTGTTTGGCTGTATGAAGTTTGTACATTTCTTTGGACATCAAGGTCTTAAATTCCATTCATACTGGTCTTAAAATGTCTTAAATTTGAGTTGGTGAAACATGTAGAAACCCGGTAGTCATTCAGTCTGACTTTAACTTGGTTTAGCACTGAATAAGATGAACATGCTCCTTGCTCTTAGCTTCCTCTCACTTCTTCCCTTCCGCTCTTTTGTCATTCGTTGCCTCACTAATAAAGCTGGATTATGGTTTTAATTAACTATTTAATTATTAAAAGATTTCCTGGTAGCCAAGGGGAAGCAAGTAGAGATAAAGTTAGTGGATTAGTTCTATCTTTAGCTCTTTATATTTCAAACCACGATGGTGTCATCAGTTAGTTGGCTGTTCTTTATTGGATTGTAGCAACGTGTTGTATGTATGACAATCAGAAGGAGTTTTCAGGTAAAATTGGCGCCAGCTGTAATTTTAAGACCATCATCGGGACACTTTGGTGTTTAGGGCTGCGGACGATTGGCGTGATCACGAAGCTGGACCTGATGGACGAGGGGACGGACGCACGAGACATCCTGGAAAACAAACTGCTGCCACTTCGCAGAGGTAACTCTGCACATGGGATTTTTCTCAGAGCTGCTAGTCTCTCTCAGACTGGCTCTGAGCAAATGTTAGAAATGTTCCAATCTGAGTCAGATGCAGTCCGCTCCTTCACTGTAAGATCTGACTTTTATGTTTTTTTTAATCAGGCTACATCGGGGTGGTGAACCGCAGTCAGAAGGACATCGACGGAAAGAAAGATATCCGCGCTGCTTTGGCGGCTGAGAGGAAGTTCTTCCTGTCTCACCCCGCATACAGGCACATCGCCGAACGCATGGGCACCCCGCACCTGCAGAAGACCCTCAACCAGGTCAGACCCGCCCCGGATTAAACACCGTCACACCGTTTGACTTGAAAGCGTTGCCTGGGTGACACGTCACACCAAACCATGTTCTGGTACATTTTGTTCAGTTCAGTAAAAGAAACGTGGATATTTATATCCAAGATTTTTCGGAGTCTCTATTGTGTGGGCAGGAGGGATCTCCTGTAGCAGTCTGTGTGGCACACAATCTGAAAAAGCTCCTGTCTTAAAACTGACCTTTCACTGGATCATCTTTGTTACACAATGAGCTCCAGAGGTCCTTCGCTTTCTTCCATTCCAAGTTGGAAAAATGAAGCTCAATACATCGTCTAATTACATCGTCTAATTACTATTATCAGCAAAGGCTAATGACGGTTTATTTCCTACCAGTTAGCAACTTTAGCAAACCGCTGTCGCTCAGTAATTTATGTAACTTGCTCAACACTAACCATTAAAGTTTCAAGTAAACAGTTTAATACTGAAGCTTTCATCATGTTAAACACCCAACAAACACATCAGATTTCAAGGTTGCCTTTGGTGAACACAAAACCATCCTTCTGAACATTTAAATTTATTTTCTTCTTTTCTTAAGTCGGACCTCGTAAATTTTGACTTCCGAGAATTTAAGACGGAGTTTCCACTTGAAATAAATATCGGCTCCACCTAATTTTTCTGTTTTTCTGCAGCAACTCACCAACCACATCCGCGACACGTTGCCGGGGTTACGCAGCAAGCTGCAGAGCCAGATGCTGTCGCTGGAGAAAGAAGTGGAGGAGTACAAGAACTTCCGGCCCGACGACCCGACCCGGAAGACCAAAGCCCTGCTCCAGTTCGTACAAACACAAACAGACGGACATAAACAAAACGTGTTTGAACTCTTTGGCTAAGTTGACGTTGCGTGAATCTGCAGGATGGTGCAGCAGTTCGGTGTGGACTTTGAGAAGTGCATCGAAGGGTCCGGAGACCAGGTGGACACCTCCAACCTGTCCGGCGGAGCGAAGATCAACCGGATCTTTCACGAGCGCTTCCCATTCGAGCTGGTGAAGGTAATTTTGGAGGTTTCTCTCTGACATGTTTCCAAACTGCAGTGGGATTTAAGGGCAGACTTTCTTTCTGACTAAAAATGAAAATGTTTTAGATGTAAGGTTTTTCCTGCTTGTCAATTAAAACTAAAGAAGCTCTTTGACAACAAGTAAAACGTGTCACGGCCTTTGTGTCTCAGATGGAGTTTGATGAGAAGGAGCTTCGCAAAGAAATCAGTTACGCCATCAAGAACATCCATGGAGTCAGGCAAGTTCAGCCAGCATGCCAAAAAAAACCTACTCCACATTTTAGTTCCTACCCTTCTGTCAGCTGTCCATCTTACACGATTCTCAGCTTTTTCTGTTTTCATCGTCACTTTTTAAAACCTCATATCCAGAATTTGTTTCCAATATACAGCAAACCCAAATCTTCCCATTTGCTAATTAATTTATGTTTTTGAGAAAGAAAGAGAAGGAAATTATTTTTTTGAGTATTGTTTTCACCTCTTTTGTATTTAAACTTTTCAAACTTTAATTTGAAGCCAAAAATGACCTCAGGTTAATTGCTTTTTTCTACAATTTCTTGCCACATTTCACCTGTGTGTAGATATTTTGCTCCTTTCTACTTGCAGTTTGTACTTATAACAAAAACAGTCATTAAATACTCAGATATAATCAAATACTGTTAGATTTTTTTTCTAAAACCTAATTGTTTTGGTTCTGATCCCTTAATGTGCCTGCTAAATATTATGACATATAACAGATTATAATCTCTGAACATAAGAAAAGTGATTTTCTACTGGGAGATGCCACTTACTGTAGTCACATAACCCGACTTTCTGACAGTAGGGGATGAGCGGAGCATTGGAAATGACTTTCCGTCGCCTGTCGGGTACATCTGACGGGCGGTTTGTACGAAACATTCTCGTATCAAAGATATAGTGTGAGATGACCAACACTCGCCAGAAATTCACACAAAATAGGAAGATAAATGTTCATTATTGTGCTGCATATCTATATTTGAATGTGTTTGTTTATCTTTTCTAAACACGACAACATTAATCAGTGAAGACACTGATATTTATTGTGTGCTGTTTAGTGTGTGACAGCACACATAAGTTTAATAAAGTCAGGAAGTGGACGTTTCTTCTCATTTGATCTGTAAATAGTATAATTTAGTTTTTTTTATTAGGCTTTGTTTGTGTCAGTTGACTTGGCCTTGAATTACTGGAAAAGTAGAGACAAAGCAGGAAATAAGTAAAATGTTATGCACTTTTCTGTTCTACAGTAGAAATGCTTCAGATGCTTATTGGTGTCGTTGTAAAGTTGTTTTCCTCCACTAATGTTAAAAGATAAGCTTCTCTGTTATTCAAGTAAAGTAGCTCCATTTGTTTACATTGACTAAACAGAGGTAATTCCATTAACATGTCTGATTGAGTCCATTATTGCGTGATTATAATTGCATTAGCAATCCTAGTAACAATCAGGCTTTCATTCCAGTTAATACAAGGAAAGCACAGGCACGCCCTCTTCTGGATGAAAGTGGTAATCACCTCTGACCAATGCGGCTGAATGATTGCACAGATGAACTCTGAGGCACAAATACATCTGTCACACTCTTTGACATAAACAAAATGGCCGCCTTAGAAGAAACCTTTCTGGAAATGAGGTTTATGTTTCTAACTTTCTGCTTGTCTGCCACATGGCTGCCTTGACTCCAGGTTCTCTTTTTCTTCCCCTCCTCATTAGTTTTCTCCACAGCGTCTCGTCTGCTCGTGTCTTCTCTGTCTTTGATTCTTTTTTTTTTTTTTCCAGTCCTTGTGTCCATGTATCTTATCTGTATGTCCTTCAGGACAGGCCTGTTCACCCCTGACATGGCGTTTGAAGCCATTGTGAAAAAGCAGATCATTAAACTGAAAGAGCCCTGTCTGAAATGCATCGACCTGGTCATCCAGGAACTCATCAACACAGTCAGACAATGCACTAATAAGGTATCGCTGCATGGCCGCCTGTCAGACTGTCACGCCAGCGCACAGTCAGTGCAGCCAGGAGCCATATCTGTCCAGCGTTGTTTTTTATTTACTTAACGTATGCTGTTTTCATGGACTGAGAAGAACAGCTTCTGAAAAAGAAGACAGACAGCAGCAGCTTTGAAATCCCTGCCAGTGAAAAAAAATCACAAAACTACTAATCGATAAAATCCCACTCTGTGACAGAACATCTGCTTTCATTGAGCTAAACGTTTACCTCAAAAAATCCGATTGCTTCTCAAAGTCCATGTTAGACGGGTCAAATAAGATTTCTATGTGAGGTTTCTGACAAGAACACAACAGTGATGGCATTAAATTTGGCTACAACTCGAGGAAAAACTGGTACTTAATGCCTACAATGTGGCCCTTACTTTAACCAATGAACTGTCTTTCTTTACAAGAATAAACTATTTTCTTAAAATTAATTTGAAGGTCAGCGAAACATTGTGTTGCTGTTTTAAACTTTTCCATGCCATGGCTCCTCACCCAGTCAGCTTTAGCTTCTGCTAAGGATCCACTTTACAAAGCCACAGAAAAATACATGAAAACCATCAACTCTTTGTGTTTTTTTTCTAACTTTTATTCACTGTTTAGAAATTATTGCTTTTGTGTAGCATAAATGCTGCCTCATACCTTCTAATTGTAGTCGACCATGACTTCTTGGGGGCTTTTTTAGCTTCAGTGAGGAACAAAGCAGCTTGATGAATTTGACTGGCAGCCAATCAGAAAGAGAAGCATGGCAAGTGACATTTCCAGTAATTATTTATATTTTAGAACAGTGACTGAAACACGTTAGATTTTCTAATAAAAAGGTGATTAAATAGTTATGATTAAAACATTTATTAGATTGAGTTGTTTTAGTCTAACATTTTTTCCTAGCGCCCTCTAGTGGCCCCTGCTTTGAAAAACACTGTTCAATAACATCAAAGCAGCTGAGATGAAACTTTTACTCAAAGATAAACTAGTGTGGGTATATTTATATACTTTGCCCAGACTGAATTTTATTTAATCCCAAATTTAGTTAAACGTTTCCTGATTCAATGTATTAAAAGGAATGCACTTTAAAAATAATCTATTGCAGTTGTTGAATAAAAAATAACTCAAATTGTTTAGAAGAATTTGTAATTTTTTAAAAAAATCTGCCTGTCAGTAACTTCTAAATAATTTTGGGTTCAATTAGTAGCTGACTTGTTTCATCGATAAGCAGCGGCCATTTTTGTAAAATAAAAACTCTGACGTTGGCATCACGTCAAGCATTCACATTATAAAAGATTTCACTTCACCAGACTTCACTTTGACGAGAAACATCGTGTCACGAGAGCTACACCGCCACAGGAGGATCATGTCAAGGCCTCAAACTTCGCGTTTCATAACCCTAACTTAGAGAGCTGCTGCTTTAAATGACCAATATTTCACCCAATCTGACTGGAAATCACCAAGACGGTGTTCCGCTTAACAGATAACAATTATTGCATCTTTCTTTTTGCACGGTTTTCCTTTTAACTCATGATTAGAGGGAAGGTCAAGTACTAGCTGTGATGAGCTCCAGCTGTATTTTCGGTTCTGTTTGACCGTCCAGTCCATGTGCAGCATGTGTAACCGTCTGCGGACTGGGTTTGGTGTCCTGGCTGGACGGCGGTGCGGTGGAATGCTGCCTGCTAGATGCTGCGTGCTTACAAGCAGATGTGAAATGTTTCTGCGCTGGTTCATTGCAAAACAAGCTGCAGGCCTCATTTGAACTTTTTTTTCCCAGGTTTATTTTTTCCTTTCTGTTTGTGCAGCACTGAGGGAAAGTTTTAACCTGTCCATCACTTATCTGAGTTTTCTTTCCAATCAGCCAAACTTTCTCTTAGTTTCTTTGATGATTTCTTGGGTAGCTGTTCTCAGAGTTCACCTCATTGTTTTTGGCTACACTTGCAGTGTCACTAAAAAGCTGTTTTTGTCCCATAAAGCAGATTTAAGAACCTGCAGCTTGTTTTAGTCCTGAACATGAAGCAGAGCTAAACTAATTCCTGTTTTATCTCTCTTCACATGCCTCAATGCTCTATTTTTTCCCACAATATCCCATCCAACTATTATTTTCTCCACCATTTTTTTCTCTCCCTTCTGTCCTACTATGACCCACGCTATGCTCACCTCATTCTTTTACCTGACACTGAAACTCCAACTCCCATGATGCCTCACTACAGGACAGGTCTCTTCACCCCAGACTTGGCTTTTGAGGCCATAGTGAAAAAGCAGGTCATTAAGCTGAAAGACCCCTGTCTGAAATGCGTAGACCTGGTCGTCACCGAGCTGGTCACCCTGATCAGGAAGTGCTCGGAGAAGGTAAATGTGAACAGAAGCGGAACGAGGAGTGAGGGGCAATAAGCGAAAGAGAAAAATCAAGAACTTTTAATGGACTAACCAGCCACCGTGAACGTTGTTGATCGGCACCTTTCACCACCACTCAACACCCATCCTGCCACTTCCCTCAATGTTGACCCTCAATTATAAATCTAATGACCAACTCAATTTAAATGCAGCCCATCACCACACTGATCAGCTCTTTAACAAGTCCTCACCCCTTCCCGTTCTTAAATCAAACCCCACCCCGCACACCAAATTTAGAAACCTCTTCCTCACACTCTTCAGTCTTCCTCTCAGCTTCCCCCTGATTTCCTTCCTGATTTGTTGAGACTCGCATCATTAAATACTCTGATGGTGAACGTGTTGGTGCATGCATTTGTGTCTGAACCGTCTGTAAAATTGTCGCTGCTCAGAAATGCTCAGGTGCTTCCCGCATTGTACTAATGCTAGGTGTGCAGGTTGTAATTACAGTGCCTTGCGGGGTTTTCAGTCCTCCAGTTCTGTTTCCAATTCCGTCAACTTGACACAAACTTTAATCCACTTTGTTGGGGTTTTATGTGATCAACGTAAAGTAGTGCATATGTTGCACCCTGGTACTGGCCTGGACTCAACTGGAACCTGGAGACCGGGAACTCAGGCACAAAGCTTCATTTGGTAAAATATTTCGTTTTCACTTGTTCTGGAATAAACACTTCTCAGAAGAATAACAAAAACAACAAAAAAAAACACAGTAAGTTAAACAAAGACTCCTCCTAATGAGAGAGTGGTGCAGCGATTGCGGCGGCACCTCGTATACAAAGGCTATTTATCAAAGCAGCTGAAAATGTTGTGTCATTTTCCTCCCACTTCATGATCATCCATTACTTTGTGTTGGTGTGTCGCATTAAATCCCAATAAAGCATCCAGAAGTTTGTGGTTCTATTGTCACAAAATTTGAACAACTTAAAGGAATATGAATGTCTGAATATCTTTACAAGGCACTGTAGGAGCTCTGCACGATGTGCTGATGTGAAGGTGTGCAGCTTGGGATTTCTGCAGCTTTTTTTTTTTTTTCTTCCTGCACACACGTCGGTGTTTGCAGTTGGATTCGTACCCTCGACTGAGAGAAGAGACGGAGAGGATCGTCACCACTCACATCCGAGAGAGAGACAACAAGACCAAAGACCAGGTTGGTGTTTGTTGGGAGCAAAAAGATTCCCAGTATACCGGGATATTGTAGTTTTGCTCCGTTTGTGCAGATAATGCAGCATTGTGTTGTATTTTGCCTATTAGGTGCTGCTGCTGATTGACATCGAGCTCTCCTACATCAACACCAACCATGAAGACTTCATCGGGTTTGCAAAGTAAGATAAACCTCTGAGGCAGATTAATGGGGACTCTTACTGGGAATCCGGCTCGGCTGCTCTGATTGGCTGTTAACATAGATTTGGTCTGGCCATCATGGCCATCATGGCCATCGTGGCCATGATGGCGACATCATGGCCATCTATGAGGCGATGATGTCGCCTCATAGTTCATGGTGGATGTTTGAGAGGCTTTGCAGTGTTCAGCCAACGTTCTTTCTTTAAAGTAAATTTGTCACTTCTAACAGTGTGGGTCCAAAAACTTCTCAGTTTCAGAGTTAAAGCCCAGGATGATGCGTTCTACATTCTGTTATATATTATTTTAGATTACAAGGCTGGGATCATTTGTTACTTTTGTATTTACAGTTTTTCATTTGTTCACAAAGCGGTTTAGTGTTGCTTCAGTAGTGAATAAAAAAGATGCTCTGCTGCGGGTTTTTTTTGTCTACAACAGGAAAATGATTATGCGGGTTCATCCTGTTTCTGCCCCTTTCAGCCGCGACTGAGCTGAGCTGCTGTCAAACAGAGAGACTGGAACTGTTTTCAGAGATTTCTTTCTAAGAAGCAGCCAAAACAAAGACGAACATGGCGTTCAAATCACATTGTTGCCGAGGTCCAAATGGTACAGAAGCTTAAATTAACAAAGTTAAAACAAATTTGTGTTAACGCAAAACTGACCTATTTTCAACATGTAAATGTTCGTGCAACAAATAAAACTAATTATTTACATTTAAAACACATTATTTACATTTATTTACATTATTTACACTAATTATTTATGTTTAAAACATTTTATCCGACTTTATCAAAACCCATTTCTAGCCATTTCAATAAATAATCAAATTCAGTTATGCTTTTGGATGATTCTGGTATCTCATTGTATTACTGTGAGGTTTAAGAGCTTTTCTGAAAGTAAAATATATAAAAATGAAATTGAAACTTAAGTACAGATTTGCACATTGCAAGACTAATGTTTAAATTATAAAGTGTAACTGATGTCTGCATAGGAAAATATACACAATGTTTACATTATACTTAATAAAGTACCTGAGTTTTAAAAGTTTAGAATACATGTATAAGGAATAAAATCACTCATTCATCCATGCTCTTTTATTCCTTTGGGGACAAATACTGATAAAATAATTGATTGTAGTATAGTCATAAAACACAACTGAGCCAGCCACAAAAATGCTAAATTATGCAATAACTTAAAAAGAATAAACGAAATGTTGGTAAATAAAGAAATATACCGTATTTTTCGGACTTTAAGCCGCTACTTTTTCCCCACGCTTTGAACCATGCGGCTTACAGCCCGGTGCAGCTTTTCTGTGGCTTTTTCTTCAACCACCAGGGGCGCTTTAGCATGAAGTGAGTCATTGGAAGTCAAAATTGGAAATCAAAGAAGAAAGCGCTAATTTTCATTTAGAGCAAGCACCTGCTAGCAACAGGAACGACGGAGAAATGTTTTCAGATTCAAACCCCCTCATCATGGAAGCAACACGAAGAAGTTCATATGATGCCGCTTTTAAGCTAAAGATTATCAATCAATCTGGCAGTAAATGGAGCCGCTGCACATAAACTCAGCGTGAATGAATCCATGGTTGGGTGTTGGAGACGGAGGGCTGCGTCATTATGGAAAACCAAGAGCGGCGGAGATACCAGCGGCTTATAGCCCGGTGCGGCTTATTTTCCGTTTTTTTTTTTTTTAAAAAACCTTTTTAGATGGGGCTGATAGGGAGGGGCGCTCTGTAGTCCGGAAAATACGGTATTTTAGTCTCTCATTGATCAGGTTTTTTTTTTTTTTTTTAAACACTCTTTTATTTGTAACTGGATCAGACTGAATGTGTAAGAGTCGACTGATGGTTCTTCCAGTGTGTGAAAAGAAACCGGGTCCAGTTCTTAAAGCTGAGCTGATTTTATTGAACGTCTCTGTCCTGCAGCGCCCAGCAGAGGACCGCTGCCAACGCCACCAAGAAGAGAGTCATGCCCAACCAGGTAGACCAGCTCTCTTACATCACTGCAATGTTTTGTTTTTCCGCTGTAATTGTTCATCTTTCCATGCTACTACCTACTGGCTCTTTGTTCCTCTCTTCCTCCTTCTAAACCGCTCACTGGAGCTTCTAGTAAAGCACCTTGGCCCCAGTTCCTCTTTAGGTGGGTGGGGGGAGCCGCTGCTCGCTCAGGCCGTGACGAACAATATTTTTTCATGTCTGACAGGGAAGAGGGAAGTGAGAATTGCGCACACTTATGAGAACTCACAGGTCAGCTTTTAAGTGTAAACATATGACATCACAGCTTCTCCGTGAAGCTCTTATGGGTTTTTCTGAGCTTTTAAGAATTTTGATCTGCATCTATGGATGACGGTGAAATTAGAAGAAATACGGGAAAGCTAGGATTAATTGTTGCAGGTTTACAGGCAGCAGGTGGTGAGATTTATCTGTAAAACGCTGCAACCCATTACATCATAAGGCTGGAATAGTTTTCCTCTGGTCATCTGATCTGCGAAAAACACATACAAATAAATCAGCCGTAGGATCACAGTTTGAAATGCTGAAAATTGATTTATTGAAGAAACAGAGACATTTTCCAACTCTCTACACTATGCTAGACGTCAAAAACAACCTAAAATGTCTTGCAGCATGGCTGCCATGAAGATTATTTTTCTCCCATTTAATCTGTAGCTCTGCAAATAAAACTCAGTCCACCATTTTAGTCAGAATGCTGCATTTCCGTGGTACGTTTTTATGCATTTCTTTAAAGCTGCAGTAGGTTACTTTATAAACAATGTTTTTTTTTTTTTTTTGCTTATTTGTTTTACTGTCTATCATCTTTGTGTAGGCGCTGCTAAACGCTAATGGCGGAAAAGCAACTTACCGTTATAGGAAAACCGTTCAGCTATTGTCATTGGTTGCTATGCTAACTAGCCTGAGCATTGATAATTGGCTCCGCTGTGAGCAAGGGGCTGTATCGCAGCAGAGAGCAAATGGCAGAGTGTGCCTGGTGTGTACACAAGCATGATTGACAGCGATAAGACCCTCCTCCTTGCTCTCTGATTGGTTGTTTCTGACCATACAGAGTATTTTTCCAGTGGCTCTAGGACTGGAAGGAAGAAGAAAAGCTTGATTTGTTTATTTATTTTTCATATATTATCTGTCTCGAAGCATACTGTCACAGTATATCGTCATGACAGTTTGAACAAATACGTGAAAAACCTATTTCTTCATAAAAGTTACGTACTGCAGATTTAAAGTTACCAGTGTTAACGCAGAAACAACAGCGAATAGAAGAACTTTAGCAAATCAGATATCAAATTGAAGCACCAAGCTCTCTCGGCTGTGCTGCGTTTTCATTTGCTTGTAGCGTCCTGCCTCCTCTCTTAGGATGAGCTTTAAAACACCTGGTGTTTCTGTGGACCGTTCAGGTGATCCGCAGAGGCTGGCTCACCATCAACATCAGCATCATGAAGGGCGGATCCAAGGACTACTGGTTCGTCCTGACCGCCGAGTCTCTCTCCTGGTACAAAGACGAGGAGGTAAACCTGCAGAAACGACAGGAAATGATGATGTAGCCGTCAGTCTCTGGCAAAACGTCACACAGAGTGTTTCATCAGGAGAAAGAGAAGAAGTTCATGCTGCCTCTCGACAATCTGAAGCTGAGAGACGTGGAAAAGGGCTTCATGTCCAGCAAGCACGTCTTCGCTATCTTTAACACCGAACAAAGGTGCTGACATCTTTTTTTTTTTTTTTTTTTTTTTTTTTTTTTTTTTTTAACACCCTTGGTTTTTAAATTTTTTTTTTTTTTTTC